CCAGCCGTCGGAGTGGCACCGCTCTCTGCTTTTGCCTCAGGCCTGGCGGGGCTTCATGAGCCGGGCTTACCATGGAGCTCTCCGGGTAATTCTGTGTGACTGTATAACTATCACATCAGATATAGGAGAAGACGAGCATTTATGATTAAGGCCATCATTTATGAGATTATTCTCATTATTGTCCAGGGTCGAAAGGCAGAGCTGGAGATGCTACAGAAACAGGGTAAAGAGAGTCCAGAGGAACTGCAGTATAAACAGCACTATGCCTGGCTCTGGTAAGATTCACACATCCAGACTGAGCTGGAGTTTATGTTAATGTCGTGATGGTCTTCCATTTCGTGAGACAAAAAAAACAAAACGAAAAAGTTCAGTTGTATCAAATTTAAGGCCATAAAAAAATCTTTAATATCATGAATTGTATAAGAAAGTCTTAATTATCATTTCAAGAGCTCTTACATCTGGGGACACAAAAACAGGAGTCGTGAAACAGCTGTATGTTATTATTAAATTTCAAAAAGGCTATTTAATTGCGAGCACTGCATATTTCAAACGAATTGTTTGCATGTTCTACAGGCTTACTCTTTCAAAGCAGTTCACAAACAAATGCCAAGCACCAGGGTAGATTTCTGCTTTTCTATAAGCGCCACCTACTGCCAGAGAGTGAACAGGTTATTATTACTTCAGGTAATCACATTATGAAATAAATGTGTTTTTTCTCCAAAACACATTGGGAACAATTATTTGGCCCCTTTTTATTAAAGCTATGGTATACGATGTTAAAAATCGGTCGAGACGGTAGGGAAGTTTTAAAAAACTCATCCCGCCCCTCCACACACCCCCCCCTCCCCTCTGCGCTACCTGATCCCTGACGTATGTCACGTCGAGTTCACGTCAACGCAAGATTAGCAACACATGAAATGTTCTAAACTCCCCACCACCACCATTATAATACTACTAGTATTGCTAAGGTTTTCAGTAATTGTTATTGCAGCACGCAGCGCATCTTGTTCAAATTCCGATCGGCTCGAACAGAAACCTCAAACAAGAAATATAATTACTTTGAACCGCGATCGGCGATGCTAAACGGCTAACATTCCAATGCCGACCGGCAGCATGAGCAAGTTGTCAAACTGATAAAAAGCCACGTAACACGTCACAGCATAAAAGAATAAATAAATGTTTACCTGCTCAACAAAAAGTCATCCGTGTCAGCGTCGTTTTCAGCCCCAGATCTCCCTGAAGCTTTCTCCAATGGTCAATGAAGGACGCTATTTTATCCTACTTCGAGTCCGAATCTTTCTTCCACAGACTTTCTCTTGCGTCCAAACTTTACAGTAGAGGTAAGCAGGGGCCGCTTGCTGTTGTCGTTTATATTTTTATCCATTGCTTTATCCATTGCTGATCTGACGCTACTAGCTAGCTACCATAGACAGTCTGTCAGCTGTTTGCTCACGCACGGAGGGGGGCGGGGGCGGTTGGGTTGGAGACGCGAGCGCCAGGCGGTGTTTCAAGTGGAGCTGGTGATTGGATGAGAGCAGTTGACCAATATAAGCTGTGCGGCCGCACAGCTTACATTGGCCAACTTTTCTGCGGCTGTACAGCCAATAGAGTGAATGGATTTTTTCCGTTCTTTTTTCTATTCATATTGTTAACCAGCATCTAAACGAGGATATTAATAATGAACAATCTTTGAAATCGTATACCCTAGCTTTAAATACTCCTTTTTCCGTGATAACAGCCCTGAGTCTTCTCCTATAATGCCTGATGTGTTTGGAGAACACCTGACGAGAGGTCAGATACAGATTCTCTTCAGTTCAGCACACTCATTTTCTATAGGGTTCAAGTCAGGGACTGGGATGGCCATTGCAGATGCTTGGTTTTGTGCTCATTTTTGTTTTGATTTTGATATTTGGTTTTGGGCAAGATGTCCAGGACCTCTTGGAAAATTAGGCCCACAGCATCTGATACAACAGCGTTTTTCATTTTACACATGGGATACTTTTTTATCCCTGTGTGAACCAAACCCATATTAAGTGTTTGCTGCCAAAAAGCGTCTTTTTTTTTGTTTGTTTCATACTAAAATTTACTTTGGCGACAAATGGTTTAAAATTCATTACAAAATGACTCAGAATAGTTTTGAAAATTGTTTGCAGATGCCATTTGATTTGATATTTTATGAATGCAGTTGTGAATGCAATGCCATTCATACATTTTTAAGTGTGACTTGAGCGTTCAAATACTTTTGGTGGGTGGCAAACTCTGCACATTCTTAAAAAGGTTTTTATCACAGTGAGATCAGATTTAGCATTAGAGTTTTTATTAAAAATTGATTTTAAAAATCTTATGTAGGCAATAGAGCTGTCAAAAATGCACTTTGCACATATATATATATATAGTTATCTTAAAAAAAGAGCTATAGATGTAGTTCAGATTCTCACTAAACAGCTCAAGGAATCTCTAACGAGCACACACGACCATAAACCACTTGTAATCTGACCGTTTGAATTATATTTCATAATTTTCAGCACAAAAAGCTTAGCATTTTGAGAAACTGTCAAGATGAATGCAGCACTATAATGAAAGCCTCTAAAGAGTGAACCGTAATTGGAGCTTGCACCATAGGGAGGAATGTGAGGGTATTATTTTATACATCTCGTTTGTGTCAAACCATCCAGAGCTGTAGAACTGTGATTGCTGTGGCCTTTTCAGCCGCTTCGAAAAACCAGAGACTGACATTTCGAAGTCGCATACAAATGCATGCTCAAATTCATATAATCTTTCAATGTAAACCGGTTGGCATGTATAGGCTGTTATTGTTCACACAGTGTCCCGCCATAATATGCCCTATCGCATAACCAGAACACCATAACTCAACCTCTAGGACGCCATTTTGACAAGCCTGTCAGCCAATGAGTGATTGATGGGATAGCATGTTCAGATGGCAGCCAGAGGCTTCATTCCCCACGGCATCACGGATTCTAGTTTGTTCCGCAGTCTTTGTGTAATGCAGTTATTACTCTCCTGGGAGCTGAGGGCAGTCTATATGCGGTCACGTGCCCTGAAGCATGCTGGGAGGCTTGGATGGTTTGAGAACACTGGGATTGTAGGGTTACAACTTTTCAAGTAAAGATAGTTTAAGCTTGAGGAAATGAGGTAAACTTTTGTCATAAAGGGAATTTGTGGGGTCCAAAAAGTATGACAATGATTTTGAAATTGAATACAAACTTTACTTATTGTTTATATTATATTGATCTTTAATGGGGACTCATTATGCTTTTATACATTAAACTTTTTTTAGTGTGCAATGTTGCTGTTTGAGCTTGAAAAAGGTCTGCAAAGTTTATAGCCATTCCCAAGTGAGTTCTTCTCTATATCAGTGTCACTGTTTCTTAAAGCTACACTGTGTAACTCTTTTAGTTTATTCTTAGCTAAAAACGCTTAATTTTTTGTTTTTCAAAAATATATGTGCTCATTAACGTATATTTACTTTGTTCAAGTAATAAAGTATTCTCGTAAGTATTTCCGGTAAGGGGTTCTAATGTGGGTCGCCATGTTGCCCCTCCATCTTGAAAGTACATTAGCCAAAGAGGGACATACCCGTTAATTCAAGCTTCGCCTTTCGCGTTTACGTTTGAGTTAACACTCATGGACGAGGTCGAACTGGAAGCCATGTTAATCTTGGACTACATTGGCCACCGTAGGAGTTAAAACGAATTCGGAATTGAGAGGAACAGAAACTAATATTCCCTGGATGGTCATATTCCTTTTCACCGCTAGATGGGGGTAAAAATCACACAGTGTAGCTTTAACTCCCTGAAACTCTCTTGATATTCATCCAGGAACAAATATGTAACAACATTCCTCATTTAAATAATTCCCACCCAAGGCATACGCAAAATAAAGGGTACGAGGCTATGGAATTAATTTTGAGCCAATAAAAATGAACGTAACTTTTCAAGAAACGAATAAAAATATAAATTGAAACTGAATAAAATATCTTTGTAACTGAAAAAGAATGAACCGCAAGCAATTTTTTTGACTTTGTTTTTAATAGACTACATGTTTTGCTAACTATTCCTCATATTTCGTTTACTGATCTACACTTACAAATGCGCTTCCAGAGTTTTCATTTACGCTTCTGAAGTTTTCGTTTACACTCCCTGAGTTTGCGTTCGCTGTTCTGACACAAATCTCTCGTGGGGGCGGGGCTAGTAGAAGTGTATTCTCATTGGCTACTGAGCTTTTGATTGACAGCTTCTTGACCTGGAAGTGAAGACGTCAGAGTTGTGTTTACACGTGTGGATGTGAGCGTCTGTAAGCGCAGCTTTCTATTTAATTTTAGTAATATTAAGTTATGTTTGTTTTTTAATTTTATCTGTATTTACCTTCTGCTGCGATTACTTTGTCAACAGAAGCTTTTAGGTTCACAAGAGATCAGTCTATTCAGGTGTAATTGTACATCAAAGTACGCCCACTGTATGTGACTACTTAAAATATTTTGTCCAATGTTTTAGGAGAATATTTGTTTATTCTTGATGATTCGTTTGCATGTTAGGCTCTGAATAGGTTGTGCTATTACAATATAAAGAGAATAGCCTACTAGTATACGTGTGTGATATATTCAGCAGTCAAGAAAGTTTCACTTCAACCAGGTAATCAAGGTTGGCAACCATGGCCATCAAATTTCTCATTGTTACCATATGCATTTACACCATCAAATGATCATGTATGATCACTTAAATAAGAGGAATTTAAACTATATGAAAATTACAATCGTGGGTTGCTGTCAGATGATACAGACCTCAAAGGGCATTTCATTACATATTTCACACAAAGAATATTTTTGTTGGTATTTTTTTAATCATGCTGATAATTTTATTTATTTCATTTTGTTAATATTATTTTCTAACCTTTAAAATGGTAAATATATTTGAACAATCATCAACAGGTTCAATTATGACTTATAAAATCAGTTAAATGAATTTAAATAAAAAATCTAATAAATTTATTCATTCTTTATTGTCACTACAGCATATACACAAGTACCAAAGTGAAAGTCTTGGATGCAGTTATGACAGGAAAGACCAGAATCCACAAAACATTAACTGCATACTATACATGTAATGCACAGTATTCTCATAATATACATAATAAAATGTATAATCTCACAAAGATTTTTAATGAAATAATACATCTCTGTGAGTCCACATAACACAAGTGGATTGTACCCATGTATGGCAGTTGGTCGGAAATGATTTTTAATAGTTAAAACAGTTTACATTATTAGTATTTATTTTTTTTTATTCTATTGTTTCACTTCAGTATTGATTCATCCACTGAGGTCACATGGACATCACGGTCACTGTGTGTGGTTTTTAAAGCATCTTTAGGGCTTGCAGAGATGGATTACTTTCCTTAAAATCTTAATTCGTATTTATCTGTAGAAAGAAAGTAAAATGCATCTGGGACAGCATGAGGGTGAGTAAAATAAGTGAGAATTTTATTTTTGGATGAACTATTCCATTCATATGCTGTTGGTATGCTAATCCATGATCAGCAGAGACTAATAAGAATAAACTGCAACCTCTTGTGTACTGTGTTTGTTTTAATCTAGAGCTCCAAAGAAATTAAAATATTTGCTATTTTATAATATTAAAATAAAATACAACAGGTGTCTGAAGATAAGGATCCCAGTAATTCAAAGGTGATATGTCTGAACAAAGTAACATTATTGTCTGATGGAGACAGCTGATCTCTGGTATTATCACTCCATCCTCTGTGTCAGCATCAGAATTTTGTTTGTGGAAAAGTTGCTCAAATCCCTGGAAAATGAGAAAGGAAATATATTATAATCTAACAATACAAACTGCTTTGAACTCCCACATGCAGTAACCATTTGCAGACTTAAAATAATTATTTCAAACAAATTATATAAATGTTTTAAGGGATTTTACAGTACCAAATGTTTACCTGACTCACACACCATTTATCATCTGTAATACTATTGTATACCCAGTAGATGGCTCTATAGCCCAATAAACATTTATCCATGGCTGTGTAGCGTCTACTCCCTAGTTGCTGGATTTTTTCAGTCATAATTACTTGCATGTATTAGGTTTTGAATTTGGATATATATATATATATAAATTATTAAAGACTATTAAAAATTCAACATTTTTCTCCAAAATGTTTTTTTTTTTACATAATTATTACTAAAATATGGATACAGAAAAAGCATTTTGTTGCCTTTTGCAGAATAAATATTGCGCCCAGGGTTATACTTGGGAACAAATGAGTGTTAACATATTATGAATGGAGACGTGGAAAATGGTCAAGTACTCTCTCTCTTCTTTTAAAAACTCTGCATCACAAATTAATCAGCAATTGGCTTTACATTGCCAAAGTTGAACCGGGCAGTGATTGACAGGGCTCTGGTCCAATGGCATCGGTCATTGTCTGATACAGTACATTTTGTACTGTAGGCTACAGATACTGTACAGTACTCTAGCACAATGTTGTTTGGGGTGGCAGAGGGGAAATATGATCTAATTGAAGCAAATATGATCTAATCGAAGACTGTAACCGTATGTAACGTTAGATAAACAAGACATGTAATGATTGGGCTAACAACTTACCAATTAAATCAAGACAACACTGCTGTATAATGTTATGGGCTCTCACTGAGCTCTAATATGCCTCTCCACCTGAAAAAGCAAGAACTGTATTATAATTAGTATTAGTTTAGTATTAATTAATAAAAACAATAAAAACAATCAGACTTACCACGAGTAGCCTATGCTATCCAGTATTCTGATATCGACGATGACAAATTATATCATTTGTCTGTACTATTCCTTCTATAAGAAATCATATCAACAATATAGTGTAGCAGTAAATAAATAAAGAAATAAACTTAATATCACCTAAATGAAATAGAAAGCTACGCTTACAGACGCTCACATCCAAACGTGTAAACACAACACTCACTGACGTCTTCACTTCCAGGTCAAGAAGCTGTCAATCAAAAACTCAGTAGCCAATAAGAATACACTTCTACTAGCCCCGCCCCCACGAGAGATTTGTGTCAGAACAGCGAACGCAAACTCAGGGAGTGTAAACGAAAACTTCAGAAGCGTAAATGAAAACTCTGGAAGCGCATTTGTAAGTGTAGATCAGTAAACGAAATATGAGGAATAGTTAGCAAAACATGTAGTCTATTAAAAACAAAGTCAAAAAAATTGCTTGCGGTTCATTCTTTTTCAGTTACAAAGATATTTTATTCAGTTTCAATTTATATTTTTATTCGTTTCTTGAAAAGTTACGTTCATTTTTATTGGCTCAAAATTAATTCGATACGAGGCCTGGGTGAGTCGCATTAGTAGTGCGTTGAAATGCGCGGTTATGGTGAGGGGCGTGACATTTCCAAAATAAGCTCAAGTGGTTGACCAATCACAACACACTGATCCAGCTGGCCAATCAGAGCACACGGTGCTTTTCAAAAGGAGGGGCTTCATAGATACAGGAACTAAACAGAGCATTACCAAAGTCCTTTTAGGCAGGTCATGTCACTCAGCCGCCATCTTGGCAACGCCACCGGGCAGCTATTTCGGACTAACAAGACCAGGCTCCTATCTAAATGAATGGGCAGAGACTCAGATCTGAACTTTCACTGGTCACCAGGACATACAAACTGCTTGTTTAGAAACAATAATAAAAAATGCTTGATGACCCCAAAATAAGGTTTAAAACGCCTTTTTCCCCACAGGTTATACCTTGACTGCGCATGCGCAAGGGTCCTCTCCTGCTCAGTTGTGCACACGCTACTGCTCGCTCGCTCTAGATTCTGGGAGATTTGAACTAATTTGCGCTCATCAGGAAGCCGCTATCAATCTGCAGGAGACTTGGGATGTCTGATATTTATACGGATCAAATCTGCCGCCTTTTCAAACAGTAACATATTTTCCGCTGTCGCACACCTCAACTGTGCGCATGCGTTGGTGGAACCAGAAGATAGGCTTAAATGTTCCCCCGCTTGACTGTTAAAAGCATACGATTGGCTTTCCAGCGGGAGGGGCGGGACATGTGGATGCATACAACTGCCATCTTTGGTGTTACAGGTTTTCCCTATATAGTTGTATTAAGGATTGAGGAAGTGGCATGTCTCTATATAAATAGTTTCTGGTGTTACTGACAGACTGGGAGGAGAGGTGCTGCAACAATCTCAAATATGTGACAAATACGTTTTTTTTTTACTTTCAGGTATGAAAACATTCTAGTAGAGCCCAAAAGAGAGATTTAGAAAAAGGGCGTATTAGAGTCCAAAAACCTGAGGCCATGTCCACACTAATACGTTTTCATTTGAAAACATATATTTTTCTCTCCGTTTTGGCCTTCTGTCCACACTGAGACGCCGTTTTAAGTCAACAAAAACGTATCGTTTGGAAAACGCTTTCCAAAGTGGATAAATGGAAAACGCCGTTTTCGCGTTGTAGTGTGGACAGTGAAACCGGAGGTATTTCAAAACGATGACGTAAGTTTAGTCATGTGATCCATGAAGTACCAATAGATATTCATGTTTATCGGTATTGTGCCTGTCATGTGTTATTCATTTTTACACTATTGCTAAAATATGTTACTTTCTATGTTACTTAATATGTGCTATTCTTCATAGCACTACAAAGATGACACATAATGTACTTAAATTTGCTGTCCTGCGGCAAAACAGGAGAGCAGTTGCGTTTTAGACCAAACATAGGACCAAACATGCGACCTGGACGCATCAGTGATGGTGAGATATTTTGCTAAATAAAATTATCCTGTTATTGTGCGATAACATTATTATCTCAGTGAGCTTTTGTGAAGTTTCACGCATGCGCAGTAAAGTGAATTTAGAAGTTTCTCATCCACACTGAAACGTCGGAAAACGGCTGAAAACGCTAGTGTCGTTTTTAAACGAAAACCCCGTTTTCAAATGTATCCGGATTAATGTAGACGTAGCCTGAGTCCACTATTGGAAATGCTTCTATTTGCAGTTCTCTGATTTAAATACAATTTTACTTCATAATTTATTAGCATATTAATTGGAAATTTTCAGTGAAAGATTTAAATAAATGTCTTTACTACCTTTAATGACAGCAGCACTCAAGAGCACTCATGAACTCCATTAGTTTGTGTAAAACTGTATAATGTGATCCTGTATGATTAGAGAATTATTCAAAGAGCATCAGTGAAAGCAACGTCTGTCCATTTAAAATTCAACCTAGTATCTTTCTTATCCATTTTATGCAATTTTTTCTCTAAATGATTCAGAATATTCCTGCATTTCCATGTTTAAATTGGATGAATCCCAGATTTTGGGCCTCAGACTTCTGGGACCCACTGTACTCGATGTAGCTGTGCGAGTGATACCTGCGCTCTTAAATCATTGCCTGAGGAGATGAAAGCTCTTCTGTCGGTCTATGGAGCACTTTAAATCATATCAACTTTAAATCAACTTTAAATCCCTCTCTTTCATTCGGTCTTTTCTCAGGGTCAGAGACCAACTGACTGATGTGGTCAAATCTGCCACCAAGTAAGTTACTGAAGCTGCCGATATTTTTTGTTAGAAGCTGAAAGTCTAAACCATTGATTTTTTATTTTCTTTGCTTTTATTATTAAACCAAGTGCTTTATATTCAGAATTTGCAGTTAGTCTTGATTCACTGCAGTCTCTTAGGGAAACTTTTCTCTGTGCTTTATTGATTCATTGTAAGCTCATAATTAAAAACCGAAATTGTCAGTCCTATTTTCAACATCAATAATGGAACAATAGCTATTCTGGTAAAAATCTATGAAAAAGTTTTTTGCTTTCCATTTCCATTGACAGAGATAGTCCGGTCGTTCAGGGTAACTCTATTTTAGCACTAAGTGGCCTGGCTGTCGTCTTAACCAGATACGAGAGCAACCTTCCTACACAGTCTGAGAGTGGATGTGAGGTGAGATGCGGCTTTATTAAGAGTCCTGGCTTTCATACTCACCTTTCAAAACAGTAGCAAAAAATATCTTGAAAACTTCCAAATAAAATTTACATATCCATTCGTAGGTGGTTCCAGACACCCTTCCCACAGTTCATTGGCTGTCGATGGTGACTGACACACTGCTCAGCATTGTGAGCAATAGCAGGAACCCGAAAGGTCAAGTCTTCCCATGGTTCATTCATGTGAGTTGTGACCCCTCAGATGGGGCGTTCAAGACATCATTTATTTTTGCAGATTTACAAATGTACTATAGGATTGCTAGGAGCGTTTTCTTCCTTGTGGAAGTTTTGCATTTGGTGGAGATGGTCCTCACTGCAGAACATGAAATCCACGGGGAGGAGTCAGATGCAGATCCAACTCGTCCCACCTTACATTCACCTAAACCTACCCAGCTCCACCCCTGATGCCTAAACTCACCCTTAAATCTACCCAGCTCCAACCCCTGATCCCTAAACCCACACTTAAACCTACCCAGCTCCACCCCCTAATCCCTAAACCCACCCCTAAACCTACCCAGCTACACCCCCTAATCCCTAAACCTACCCAGCTACACCCCCTAATCCCTAAACCTACCCAGCTACACCCCCTGATCCATAAACCCACCCTAAACCTACCCAGCTCCACCCCTAATCCCTAAACCCACCCCTAAACCTACCCAGCTACACCCCCTGATCCATAAACCCACCCCTAAACCTATCCAACTCCACCCCCTATTCCCTAAACCCACCCCTAAACCTACCCAGCTCCACCCCCTGATCCATAAACCCACCCCTAAACCTACCCAGCTCCACCCCCTAATCCCTAAACCCACCCCTAAACCTACCCAGCTCCACCCCCTAATCCCTAAACCCACCCCTAAACCTACCCAGCTCCACCCCCTGATCCATAAACCCACCCCTAAACCTACCCAGCTCCACCCCCTGATCCCTAAACCTACCCAGCTCCACCCCTAATCCCTAAACCCACCCCTAAACCTACCCAGATCCAACCCCTGATCCATAAACCCACCCCTAAACCTACTCAACTCCACCCCCTGATCCCTAAACCCACCTCAAAACCTACCCAGATCCAACCCCTGATCCATAAACCCACCCCTAAACCTACTCAACTCCACCCCCTGATCCCTAAACCCACCCCTAAACCTACTCAGCTCCACCCCCTGATCCCTAACCCACCCCTAAACCTACCCAACTCCACCCCCTAATCCCTAAACCCACCCTAAACCTACCCAGCTCCACCCCCTATTCCCTAAACCCACCCCTAAACCTACCCAGCTCCACCCCCTGATCCCTAAACCCACCCCTAAACCTACCCAACTCCACCCCTAATCCCTAAACCCACCCTAAACCTACCCAGCTCCACCCCCTATTCCCTAAACCCACCCCTAAACCTACCCAGCTCCACCCCCTGATCCCTAAACCCACCCCTAAACCTACCCAACTCCACCCCCTAATCCCTAAACCCACCCTAAACCTAACCAGCTCCACCCCCTAATCCCTAAACCCACCCCTAAACCTACCCAGCTCCACCCCCTGATGCCTAAACCCACCCCTAAACCTACCCAGCTCCACCCCCTGATCCCTAAACCTACCCAACTCCACCCCCTAAACCCACCCCTAAACCTACCCAACTCCACCCCTCAGATCTGGATCCAACTCCGCCCACTGGATCTCGTGTACTGCAATGAGGTGCTACTGGTTTGGTGAGCTAATAAAATATTAAAACTCAGTCAAATTAATATTTTGTGTACAGTTATTTAATTATCCGGTATCTCGGACTCTTGTTTCATACAAACGCAGCTGCTGCTATTTTGTGACTATTGTTTTGTTCACGGTTGGATTATAAGATAACAAACAGGTAAGATTTAAAAATAGTTTCATCTCAAATCAATATCTCTTATCCCCATAATTATTTATGTAGCGAAATGCTGTGTAATAAGTGGTATGACTGTAATCTGTATCTCTTAAATGTCCTTATAGTTTGAACATGCCGCTTGCTAGCAACTGCTCTCTCTGCGGAAGCTTTGCGTTTAAAGAGCTAATCAAATATTTAAACTCAGATCAATATTTCATGTCTAATTATTTACTTATGTGGCAAGTAGCCGTGTAATAAGTGGGATAATGTAAATCCTGCCGGTTATCGCAGAATAAACTGTGACAGGGTGATCTGGGCCTCGACTTGTCGGGGGTTTAT